TATATATATATATATATATATATATATATGTGTGTGTGTGTGTGTGTGTGCTAGAATGGGAAAATAAAAAATTATTCTTATGACCTAACTAAATTTTGTAAGCATCACGAACCAACCGTGAAGTATGTTTTTCTCTTGTCACATTTATAGACCTAAAAGTTTTATTTTAATGTGAAACTACAAGTATTTGATTGTACCTTGGAATCTGTAAATAAATATTATTTTATAATGATTTGGAGAGGAATGTAGAAAGTAATTTTTCCTTTTTTTCAGCAGTAATACCTGTATTAACTTCTGAAGCATAAGTGTTTCATTACTATCTTCTACTCTCAGAAATTATATATTATTAGTTATTTTTATAGTCTATTTTCAAGTAAGTTAATTAATACATGTGAAAGAAAAGTCCTGAAATACGTTAAAACCTCTCAATAAGAAAAATATTGGATACTTGTAAATAAGGCTGAAGCATTTTAAGATCTAAGTAGTTTAAAATACTTAATCCAGATGCTTGGTCTTATTCTCCAAATTGGATTTTTCATTCATGGATTTTTTTGTGTATTAATATTTCTAGGATATGGCAAGATGGGCCAAAACCTTAAATCAGAGGAAAGAAAATGCAAAATTGGGGTTAATCACTTCACAGAATAGGGCGATGTTAGAACAAGCCAAACAATCTGCTGCAGCTGATGCTGGGTTTGCTGTTCTGGAGAAGAGAACAACTCCTGCAGAAAGAAAGTCCTTAGTATCTGAAGCTTTAAGGAAAGAAGTGGAGAAGACAAAAAAACTTCAGATTCCATTAAGTGGTATGATGGAGCAAAGTTCACTACCTTAATACTTCCTTTGAATGATATGAGGCAGTTTTACACTGGTAAACTAGATGCATAGGTTGTTGATTGGTAAATTGGAAAGAATAAATAGATTAATTAAAGAAATAAAGGTGTTTGGGTAGCCTAGATGGTAAGGGTTTTTTCTCTACCTGAAGGTCACAGATTGAATGTAGGATGCCTACGTTACCTTGTTATGTACAACAACGTGTATTGCAGCAAAGACTTGACATGTTTAGTGTGCAGGAAAGGGAGCCTGGGCTATTATAACCAATGCTGTTACTCTAATGTGCACTGTTACCTTTGAAAAAAAAACCTAAAACTGGCAAAAGATAATTTTGGAACAGACGAGAGTCATCATTTTTCATAGTTATCTGTCTAAGATGCTTTTTTTTTTTGTCTTAAGTCTTTTAAATTGTTTAAATTTAGATCTGATTACACTTTGTGCAGGTAATGACACTAAGCAAGACAAAACCTGTCCAGACTTTTCTTAGATACTATTTGACTGACCCTTTCTTTCAGAATATTAACACTTATGAAGAGATTTAACCCTTTAATAACAACAACACAATTTTTAAACTCCTTTCTGTGCATGTCACTGAGTTATGTTCAAAATCTAATTAACCCTTTCAAGATGGGTCAAGGGTGAAAAGCCATGTAATCTCATTTGTTGACTCGCATTCAAAATTTTATTGAACTAATATTTCATGAATTTATGTCAATAAGTTGGGTATCAAACTGTATATTATTATACAAATTTTAGTACCATATATTACTCAATTTCTTAATTTAAAAACTTTACACATTATATAAACTACACTAATGTAACATTTAGGCAGTTCTTTTAACTATTATACGTGATGTACATTTTTGGGGTGGTGGTTAATGAAAGTGTTCCAAATGCGACATTAATTTCTTGACTACCTAATACATAATGTGCTTCAATCTGAATCACGTTGTCTTTTTTGGTTTAACAAGTTCAACTACAGTTTTGTTTTGTTGATGCCTTTATGTTTTATCTAGAACAGTATAAAATTTTGCTGTATGTTTTGCATACGAGTATTTTTTCAAATGACTAAAATTTATTGTCATGCAATTTGAACATTTAAATGTGGAAATTATTACTTCATCAGTTTGTGATGTAAGTCACATATCTCATCAAAATACTGAAGAAGAATGAGATTTGCTTCTTAAAACACCAGTCAGTTATTACAGTGAAATAGTTTAATGAGTTTGGTTTTCTAGCATATGAAAGTAAGAATGAGGCTCATGATGAAATTTGGTTTTCTAGCATATCCTCATTCTAAAGTACACTTTTGTTTTAACAGGTATTAGTAAACCTTCTATCAAGCCAAACCTTGTGGCAGCCTATGGTGAAGACAGTGACTCAGATATTGAGCCTGAACCTGTAGATGTTCGGCAACCTATACATGATCCTCTTAAAGCTTGGGAAATTAAGTTAACAGATCTAAAAAAGATGGCATGTTTACTATGTAAACGTCAGTTTCCTAACAAAGATGCACTTACAAGACACCAGCAACTCTCAGATCTACACAAGGTAGGAAATATGATGTTGTGTAAGATTTGTGAATAAATCATCCTTTTTAGGGCTTAATAATGTTAAAGTAGTAAATAATTAATTGTGGTATATAGGATTGAACTATTACTGATGTTGTATTTGGATACCCTTACATTAACTCTCTCTCTCACGGACAGGTCAAAGGGTGCATGTCACAACATTTCAATTATTTTCAAAATTTAGTTAAATGATTTTATTATTATGGTAAGTCAATAAAATTGGCATCACAATGTGGTTTGTAATTCCCATTTTAATGTTATATATGTGTTTTAATTTCTTACTTCGAAAGAAAATATTTAAACAAATACCAAATATGCTTTTTTGTATGTCATATGGTGTATCTTCTTGTCTTATTGCTCAGTTTATACTTTATTTCTTCTACCATACAATGTTTATAGTAGTTAAAGAATTAGAAACTCAAACTTCACAAATTTACCAGCTAGGATACAAAATAAGTACCTCCCATCTGTGTGATTTGCTGAGATATCAAAGTATTTTACAAACCTACAAGGGTAGCTCTGACCACCACTATATTCTTTTGAAACCTCTTATCTACTAATGCCTATTTCTCTTAAGTCCATGTTTATAACTAATAGAAAGAGCACATTCCAAACTATGTAAATCTGACAGTTGTTCCTAATTGGCTTGAAGGGGAAACTTGTATATGATTGGAAATTATGAAGAATGTTTAATAAGTCATTGCTCTGAGCAGAAATTAGATTTTTTAATCCACATATAGCCTAGTTAGAAACTAGGTACATTACAGTGGTTTTGTATGTACCAGTATAGTAATTTGATAATTTTTTGGTTTTCTAAAATGGATTTTTGAAATCCATAAAACATTAATTTGTCTTTGAGAGAAGAAATTAAGCTTATGGAAAGGATTAGCAAGTACAACATGCAAATACAAATTAATTTTGTAACATTGTAAGTACTAGAAATCATTGTTTTCCTATATATTTTTTATTTATTGTGCTATGTTTTAAGAAAAATAACTAAGAATTGAGCATTTATGAATAAATAGTAATAATATACATACACTAATATATATATATATATATATATATATATATATATGCACAATTTGTACACCTTTACTGCTAAATTCTGACCACCTCAGGAGGATAACTAACATCCAAATATCTACCAAGTTTATTGGAAAAGCCTGAACTTTGTGCAGAGCCTTATCATTAGCATTTTCTCACACTTTTGTTATTTAGATAATTCTTGTTGCAGCCACTGTACTATAAACTATCCGATAAATCCTTTCCCACTGTGTTCTCAAAGCCAGAATTACGATAAGTTTTGGTAATTGTGTTGCACAAGCTTATTTGCTACCGACAGTGGTGTGTTACAGTGTCAGGTAAACCGCCTAATAGCAGGAGCAGTGAATCACTGCTTTATGATAGGCAGGTTTCTACTTCAGTTGCTGACAGTAAAATGAACATAGAAAATAGATGTGAAAAGATTAGAGGTAGAAACTTGGGGGAAGTACTTTGGAGCTTCATGGTCAATACTAAAGATAACATAACAGTACTACCCACTTCATTTTCACATTTTTCAACCTTTAAAGTTTTATGGTAGTTGCTGAGGTGGTCAAATTGAATGACCCTGTATAGAGATAGGGTAGAGAAAATAGCAGATAAAATATAAAGATTTTCTGGAAAAAAAAATTTGATTTTTATTTAGGATGTCTTAGAGACTATACAAATGAAATTAAAAAAAAATTAAATCTTAACAGGAAACTACTTTACACTCGTGGCAGTCAACACTTTTGATTTTTTGTTGTCTACAAAAGACTTAATGTTTACTAAAAATCTGCGAAGATACACAATACGTGTTAAAAGTTATAGTATGGAAACTCCAATGGTCACTTTGGGGTCACATGGTTGGTGTAATTCACCGAGTCACTAGTAAAAGAGTTAATTGTGCCCGTAGTTTGACAATTTTGGTGAGCTAAAATTATGTTTAATGTCTACATAACTGTCATACTTGTGAGCTGAAAAAATATTTTTGTATGTATAGCAAAACATGGAAACCTTGCGAAGAACGAAACTGACACAAGACGAACTGGAAATAGTGGAAAAGGCTGAGAGAGAGGTATTTACTTACAGTCCTGCATATTCTTGATTTGTAAACTTTTTTGTATTTAGATTTTAAATTTCACAGCTGAGTGAGTTATCCCTTTGTTTTGTTAAAAGTCAGTTTGATTTAAAGTTTGTTACTGTTTCTGATGATTAGTTCTTCCATAATCTTTAACCCTATGGTCAAGGGTCAGAGGGCATGTCATCACACTTGTAGACTCGTATTCAAAATTTAATTTACTATTATTTTATAAATGTATGTCAGTAAGTTTTGCATCAAACTTTAGAATATAATTCAAATTTTAGTATTATACATTAGTTGATTTCTTAATTCGAAAGTAAATATTTAAAAAAAAAGACTAAATATCGATTTTTTTGTTGTGTGTGTGTGTGTGTGTGTCACATGGTACGTGACCTTCTGAGTTCGGTTGGATTAAATTTTATGATGCTCCACAATACAATGTCTATAGTTTCTTACAAATTAGAAACTCAAATTTCTGATATTGGGAAACTAGAATCTAAAATCTGAACCTCCTACCTTTTTATATTTGCTGAGATATCTCAATATTTAGCAAATCCACCATATTGTCTCCATCCACCACTTTGTCTTTTGAGAAGACTTGTTTATCTACACGTACTTTTGTATACCAATAACTTTATAACCAATCAAAAGCTCTACATTTCTTATACATAATTCTGTCACTTAAGTTACTTAAAAGAGAAAATCTCCTATATTGTTGGAAGTATTATGATCAAGGCTATTTACTGGACAGAAATTGGATTTTTTTAGACCAAAATACAATTACGGAGGAAGCCTGGTAACTTCGAGTGGATTTTTGGTGTATTGGTATTGTAATTTGTAATTTTTTCATCAAAACATGTGAATTTAGACAAGGTTTACAACAAGGGTTAGCAATTACGACTCATGAGTCCAAACAAGGACTTTGTAGCATCGTAAGTAGTAGAGGTGATTGTTTCCCAAATAATTTTTACTTACTGCTCTATGTTTTAAGAAAAATAATTGGCATTTAAGTATTTATTTGAAAATAATATATATATGCATATGTAATATATGGTAACCAAAATATTACTGTATTTTACAAAATACTGGTACACTAGTGCTAAGAGTAAGAGATTTGTACTTTGTTGTATTATAGATGAGTATAATTGTTTATATTGTTATTTTTCTACTCGTTTACACTGAGGTAGAATAAACACAAATACAAAACTAATGACTTGGCAATCCAGGAAAAGTTTATTTATGTAATTTGAGAAAGATGGAATGGCTTATAAAAGGCAATGAAATAAAATTAGCACTGGTAAACTTATCTTAACACATGGAAAGGAACTTCTTTACATACAAGTGTATAGATCAAGAAAAAAATGGAGAGGTTTTGAACATATTATTGTACATTCAAACAAAAAGTAATCACTGAATAATTTGTTTCTAAATTGATAAGCAAGAAGGCTAAGCCAAAAATACAAGCTCAACCAAAATGGGCCATATTTATATTACTGGAAACTACATATTTATTGGTTACTGTGTAAGCGATGGTAATATAGTAAATAGGATGTTCA